CACACACACACACACACACACACACACACACACACACAAACACACCCGTGCATATGTACATACGGATGGTGGTGACGTTAACCACGGTGATGGTAGTGGGATTCGGTGGAACCGCCTTTTTTTTCCTAAAGGGTGGACAATGAACTACTAATTCACAGAGATCGATATCGAACGGCGTGTATGCATATATATGTGTGTGCATGTGTACCAAATGCAAGGTCCAAAGTTAATAAACGGAAATTTGTAAAAGGTCTCTGGGACTGTGTTGTTAAAAAAAGGGTCTGGCGAACGGAAGGTGAGGGGGATCAAAATGCTTTTCAACCGGTGGCCTTTTGATTTATCACCGGAACCCGTCGAATTAGCCGCAGCCTTTATGTATATGTATACATATACGTGAGAAATCGCGTGGACGGTAGAAAAAAAATACTAATAAACGGTGCGAGAAAGGGTGTGATGGAGGCAAACGCTTTGGACCTTTGTGTAGCGCATTGTAAACTCGGCAGTGGTGAAAAAGGCTATTATTTCGAATCGCACCACGTCAAAAGCACACACAACAGGTGGTCATTTGTGTGCAGATAAGGTGTCCGGCGCAGCATTGCCTGGAACGCTGATGAAATGCGTTTAGACAAATCATATGCCGGATGGGGTTAGTATAATAAATATTATCTTTCTAAATTGTTATCGTTTTTTTTTTCTTTATATTTTCTTTCGTTTTAGAAAACGAAAGAGTGGAACATATCACGCGCATCGATGCGCTATCTGAAAATATTGACTATAGTTCCCGAACAAATGTAACGTTTATGTAAACGGAATTACTACATTGCTTCTCGAGAAAACTCTATATTAATACATTTTCGTAAAATAGTGCGGGTGACACGCGTCCCACACGTTTTGACATACCTGTTCAAACTATGTATACTTACACTATAGTGTGCATGTGTTTGTATCGTACAGTATCGTGTTGAAATGTACGATTTATTATTACTTTTGATAAAATAAATGCACCTAATCCGTTTTGATACGGTAGTATTATACATAGGTACTAACATCATGTTAATTTTATCTTACTCGAGCTTTTTGCATTAACAAGACTTTCAAATATTCATACACGACAACTAGGTTCCAGAAAAATAGGAATAAAAACCAGATCTAATCGCAATAAATCAGTTGAGTGTCATCGAGCATATTAATTGTACTTCATTAACTTATAAAGTCGATTACGTTTCGTACGAGTACATTGCCATTATATGGACATTACTGATTGGTATCTATAACACGATATCATTTATTTTTATTTATCTGGATTTTTTGTACATAACGAAAAGATTAGTCAATAAAAGGGTAACAACTGTAACAACGCCATATGCAAAAAAAAAAAAAAGCTGTAACAAAATATCAATGTACATGTAATTTTCCCAAAAGCTATAAAGAATAATTTATTTTTAACCAATTTTTGAGTACTAAAAATGTGCATTGAATATTATCGAACATAACATATTTATAAATTCTAACAGTATTTGTCTAACGAGACATCAACATTTTGAATATTCGTAAACACGAAAAAGTATTACGAATTATACTCAATCGATTTTATATTCAAATTAATTACATTGATTTTTTTTTAAATATCTAACGATAACTTATATTAATTATTTTATTATTATTCATTATCGTAAATTCATCTTCATATGTGCTATATTACCAAATCTGAGACAACATTAATAAATACAGATATATTTTAATATTGATATGGCATCATCTTCAACGCTTACTGTTCACTGATGAAACACCGACAAATAGGTATTCTATGCTCGTATAATATGTATACAGTTTTAA